TTGAAATTAGAAATTGAAATTAGAAATGGAAATTAAAATTAGAAATTGAAATTAGAATTGAAATTAGAAATTAGAATTGAAATTAAAAATTAGAAATTAGGTTTGGAATTAGAAATTAAATTTGAAATTAGAAATTGAAATTAGAAATTGAAATTAAAAATTGAAATTAGAAATTGAAATTAAAAATTGAAATTAGAAATTGAAATTAGAAATTTCCATGGGTGGCCCCCTGAGCCACCATAGTCGGGCTCACGATCACACGTCTGTTAGTTTTGGTTCACATGTAAACGCGTGCACAGTCAGTGTCGGCTACACCACTGTTTACATGCTGTTGTGTGCAAACAGTCAGGATCAAAAGTCGTTTGTCTCTTCATCGCAGTATGCGATCTTTCGCGTCTTTCGTACAGTGCGTGAGAACCACCACGAGAACGTGCTAGAACAATTATAGGTGTACATCTTCGCAATACAAACACTACTGTCTCTGTCGATAAAAATCGAACTCATCCTTTTAGTGTGAAGTTGAATTCCCAGTGCGTGCGTGTATATAGAGGAAATATAACACACATTTATTTTGTTCGGATAACCACGTTACGACAATGAGGATCTACGCGCTGCTAGTTTTTCTCACTGCATTTGGAATGTATAGAACAGCACCCGGTATGTTTATATATCTAAGTGGCTGTTGTTGGTGTAATCGGAAGGAAGTTTGTATAATAATTACGAACTATTTACTACTGTTGATATTGTGTATACGCCGATATCACATCTGACTGTCCAGACCATCCGATTATGTTACAGTTATATCATACAATAATACGTGCCGATAGCAAAATATTCAATTTTTTAGAGATAATAGTTCTGTTATATATTTATATTACGAGTGACGAGTGATGCGATATTATAATCCAGAGTTAACTTTAACTCTACTCGCAATCCAAACCATATAATAAGTCAGCATATTTTTGAATACTTGCTTTTAAGTTCTCAAGCGTCGGATAAGCTATTAAAACAATCTACAGCAATCACACGCCGGAAGTTCTTACGCTGCAAGTTCGGATGCAAAAAAATCAATTTTAATAGTGTGATATAGTTTGTAGAACTGGCTACGTGACCTAGGTTAACCTAGGTTATAAATTGACCATTAGAAATTAGTGTAAGATAAAAAAAATGTAGAGGCGTGAGCATGCGTATGGTAATAAAGGAACGATATGATCCTGGGATTCAAATTTCACTGAAGAACCTCGTTTCGCAAACTAGAAAAAAACATGTAGTTTATTGCTTTGGAAATAACGTTTCATATAATCATTACTTGGCAGCTAAAAACCAAAGTGGTCGGTCGGAACATTATCTCTAAAATAACATCTGCCATTTCCTTTAAATTTTGACCTCTGGCGTGCATGTTTGAATTTACGCTGTGTATTTTCCTCTTAACCCTAGACCTTGATTATAAATAATGAAGGTCCTTCTTACTCGGCATGAGGACTGCAAAATATTAACATGGTCACTGTGTTTGTACAGTGATTAAACCATAACGCGATCGCGACTTACTACCAAAATACGATTAGGCCTACTACGGATAACATACTATAATAACATAATATACATAACTATGTATGAGTTTGGAAGGAAAGGCCGAATGATAACTAAAAATGACTGACGTCCCAATTTCATAATCGTGCTTGCCCATATGGCTGTGAAAAGTTTTTAGCCGAAATATAATATGATTGTTGAATGTTGGCAATACATCGTGTGTTGCAACGTCGGGAAAGGTTTAGACATCGACATCAGTGCTGTGTAGGCGTTGTTAATAAACCTTCTAGCGTCTGCTAAAGTGATTCAGCGCTAAGTCGGAAATACATTGACCGAAAAGTAAACTATATTATGTAGGGCCTCTAATTGGCATAGCAGAGATTGACTAGCGATAATGAGAACGTCTTATATGGTATATATATCTCTATTAATCATACAAACATTGTTGGCTATCTTCGTTTGGCGAAATGGTATGGTATCGCCAAATAGGACATTTTATGGTATCGTTTCTGAATGTTCTCATTGTGTTTCAGGCCTTAACGAGGAATTGCTTAAGGAATTGCAAGCTGTGAGCGGGAGCCGTGAAGACATGCGACAGTTGCGCGAACGGGTAAAGCATTTATTTATCAAAGCAAAACAATATATTACGAGAACTTAACAATCGACAATGTGTAAAAGTTTATGTGCCACAGTTTATATCTACTCGCGACACGATCTTTCGACTTTTCGCGTTAAAACGCGATGGCACATGTCGAATAAAAAACTGAACCATTGCCATTGTGATGTTCATGCTTTCGGGCCACTGATCTCTATAATATGATATTATATTATAGAGATCAGTGTTTCGGGCAGCTACGCAACAGCGCAATCACAGGAACTATTCTCCCCGACAGATGTCGCTGGGATAGATAATTCGATTCTATTATTCTCGGTATCCTGTGATTGAGATTCTGTGTAGCTCGGCTATAGGCCTATGACAAGGTGCCGCTCTTCGGGAACTGCGCGCCCCGAATCCGTCAGATCCCCTTCCAAACGTTCGATCGCTAGATTCAACACTGAGAAATTGGATTGCGATAAACGCGCACGCTAGCTGGAAGAGATGGCGTGCAGCTATACACACACACACACACACACACACACACACACACACACACACACACACACACACACACACACACACACACACACACACACACACACACCAATATATATATATAAGTTTTGTCGGAGACGATAATTTATTAGGCGCGACTACATGTTTACCTTCGCCGAGATATTAGGTCTAATGATAGACCTAATATATCTGTTATAAACCTAATAATATTTATGTGCGTAAACCGTATATTGTAAGAAGCTAGTTCGTGCTCTCCTTCGTAGTTAGTTGCAACGTAAGAGCTCGTTGTTATATCTGACAAGAAACGTAAACCTTGTCGTCGCAAAAACTTGCTAACTTAGTGAAGCCATATTGATCTCACATCCTGGCGTATCTTAATTAGCATGCTCAGTAAATTCCAGATTTTCTCATTACAACGGCTCCACACTTGCTAGAACGTAATTGACACCCTTTTGCGTTCTAAAAGTAATTGTTTGTCCGGTTTTTGTCCCGTTGAACCCGTCTTTATGATGTTACGTGTAATTACGTATAGCTATAGCACAACGTCGTCCGTTTTATACTCATACCTAACTTTGTGAATTTGCACAGATGAAAAAACTAAATTTAATTAGACAGCCGCTAATAATGTGACGGTTACAACGCATTTAACTTTCCTAGTGTAGAAAAGCGGGCCGATAATGAAAGGACGCATATTTCATAAACAATTAATCCTGAATGAATCAGAGGAAGTCGCGAGGGGATGGAGATTCTAGGGAGCACTGGCAGTCGCGAGGGGATGGACATTCTAGGGAGCACTGGCAGTCGCGAGGGGATGGACATTCTAGGAAGCACTGGCAGTCGCTGTTAATTATTCGTGTCAGTGAGCGAGAAAAAAAGTGCTATTAAAAATGCATAAAGTGCAGATCTATCGTTTTGCGTTTTTATAATTTGCGAGTTTGTCCACAGAGGCATGCATCTGTCCGGGGACATTGTGTGTTGTAAAGGAGTAATTGAGCAGCGTTTATGTGGAATTAATAAGCGACTTTAATCTAATATATATCGCTTATCGGACAAATTACCCGGACAATCACCCCGGCAAGTTACCCCGCGACAATTACCCAGCGACATTACCCACTTCATTTACCCCATGCCATTCACCGGGACTTTACCCCCAATGACAATTACCCCGGAATTTACCTCGGACAATTACTCCGGAATTTACCCCCGGGACAATTAACCCCCCGGACAATTACCCCGGACAATTACCCCCGACATTTACCCCCGGAACAATTACCCCGGAACATTTACCCCGGACGATACCCTTGACAATTACCCCGGACATTTCCCCGAGACAATTACCCCCGGAATTTTACCCCACGGACAATTACCCGGACATTTACCCCCGCGACAATTAACCCGCCATTACCCCAGTGCATTCACCCCCCGGACAATCACCCTCGCGCACAATTACTCCGGACATTTACCCCGAGACATGCGTCGCGTGAGTGCCCGCGCGTGTGACTGCCGGTGTGCAGGTACACGTAGTGTGCAGTAAACGTGTGTGCACCTGTGCATGCCGTGCGGTGCGTGCGGTTGTAGTAGTACACGTGCGTGCGTGCGTGAGTGCGTCACTGTGCTTGCTAGTAGAACATATAGGCATCTGCTCTGTGCACGTTAATCTGCTGCGTATGTGCGCTTTGTGACGTCTATTATATTTTTGATAAATGAACATGTATTGTAGGGTGGGTAATTGTCCGCGGGGGTAATGTACCGGGGGGTAATTTGTCCGGCGAAGGGTACAACGTCGGGGGGGTGATTGTCGGCGGCGTGAATGCCATGGGGCGGGTAAGGCATGCCGGGGTAATTTGTCGAGGGGTTAAATGTCCTGGGGGTAGGCGTAATTGTTCCGAAGGGGGTAACATGTCCGGGAGGTACAGGTAATTGTCGGGGGGTAAATGTCGGGGGAGTAAATGTCCGGGGGTAATTAGTTGGAGTAATTGTCAGGGGAGGGAAACGTACGGGGGTGATTGTCGCGGGGTGAATGGAATGGGGGCGAGTAAATGGATGGGGGTATCATTGATCCGGGGGGTAATGTCGGGGGTAATTAGTCCGCGCGCGAGGTGTAAATGGCATGCGGAGGTATTTGTCCGGCGGGGTAAATGTCCGGGCGGTAATTGTCGGGGGTAATGGTCCGGGGGTAAATGTCGGGTGGGTAAATGTCCGGGGGGAAATGTCCGACGGGGGTAAAATGTAGGGGGGTAATGTCGTGAGGAGTAATCTAGTCCGGGGGGTATAATGGTCGGGGGGTAAATGTTCCGGGGGTAATGTCCGGGGATAATGTCCGGAGGAGCTTGTAAATGTCCGGGGGGAGGTAATTGTCGGAGGCGGTAAATGTCGTCGTGAATGACATGGGGGCGAGTAAATGAGATGGGGTAAATTGTCGAGGAGGTAAAATGTTCTGGGGTATTGTCGCTGGGGTAATGTACGGGGGGGTATTGTCCGGGGGGTTGTTAAATGTTCCGGAGGCGGGTTAAATTCCGAGGCGGGGTATTTGTCTGGGGGTCATGTCCGAGGGGGTAAACGTCCGGGCGCGGTGATTGTCGGGGTGAATGCGCATGGGGGGATAAATGCATGGGGTAGTTGTCGGGGACGGAATGTCGGGGCGGTAATTTCGGGGGTAAATGGCATGGGGGTAATTGTCCGGGTGAGGTAAATTTCGGGGAGGTATTGTCGCGGAGTTGTTAATGTCTCGGGGGGTAATGTCCGGGGGGAGTAAATGTCGCGGGGGTTTAAATGTTCCGGGGGTAAAATAGTCGGGGGTAATTGTCGGCGAGGGGTAAATGTCGGTGGCGTAAATGTTCCGGGGTGAAATGTCCGGGAGGTAAATTCGAGGGTAATTGTCTGGCGGGGTAATTGTCGGGGGTTTAAAGTAGGAGGAGTGATCCATGTCGGAGGGTGATGGCATGGGTGGTAAATGGCATGGAAATCTTCGGGGGGCTAGATGTCCGGGGGTAATTGTCGAGGCGTAATGGCAAATGGGGGAGTATTGCCGCGGGGGTAATGTCAAGGGCGGTAATTGTCGGGGAGGTAAATGTGAGGGGGTAATGTCCGGGGGGTAAATGTCCGCGGCGTAATGTCGGTGGGGTAAATGTCCGGGGCAGGTAATTGTCTGGGGGTAAATGTACGCCGGGGTATGATGGCCAATGGGGCGGTAAAATGCCATGGGCGGTAATTCGTCGGGGTTGTTATTGTCGGGGGCGGGTTAATTGTCAGGGGGGATGATTGTCCGCCGGCGGATATTTGTCCTAGAACCATATATATATCTATGTATATATATAATATATTCGTGTTGTATTACAAGCTATCGATATGTTTTATAAGGACAAGTGTCTGAACGAGCTGCATTAGATTGATTCAATACGTATCCAGAGTTGCCCACTAGCTTATAGTAGCACTCAACCCAGTAGAACGCACACCCACGACGACCCTGATAAGAAATTTATGCTTTTACAATAGCTCTTGGTCGATTTCTAACCTAAAACCTAACCTACCCTAACCTTCTTAACCTACCCTAACCCTATCCTAACCCTAATCTAACCGTAACGTTAACCCCTAACCTGAAACTAAACCTAACTACCTAACATGACTGACCCTGACAATACCCTAATCTGACACAGTCAGCCAGACAATCACGTGACCTCTTTCGAGCCCGTGTTTAGTAACGTTGAATAATTACTCCTCTCGGTCTGCCTTTCCTCGGGGTGGCGGTGGGGGGAGGGGTGGTTAGTGAGCGGAACATTACCTGGTATCATACACGTACAGTTTTCGTGTTTAGCAATCTCAGGGTGAGCTGATCGACCACGCGGCCAATATCACGTGCGTGGACGAGATGCCTCTTCTATATGTTCACAGTAGCAACTGAATTGTACCGACGCGCCGTATATTTCTCATCAATACGTATTAGCCCTCGATTCGTCTGCATTTTACAATCGTTCTGTTGTTAAATAAGATGCGTTTCAGATCGCACCAAAGGAGAGAGACACCCGATAATTATTGACTGTACGTACGTTTAGAAAGCCTATTCTATCAGGCCGCGCGGGTTTCAATGATTCATAGTTTACTATGGTTCGCGGTAACATGCGCTTGATGTTTTACGCTGATAGTAAGGAGTATCTAAGACGCACTGTCATGATTATCATCATTTCGCCAGACAGGTTGCTATTTCTATTACACATTAGTGATTGTAGTAGCACGTATTATAATATATTATATATAGTGTGTGTGTGTTGTTGTGTGTGTGTGTGTGACCCACTCTGTGTGTGTGTGTGTGGAAATGTGGTGGTGTATGTGTGCGGTGTGATGTCGCTGAGTGGTGGTGCGTCGCGTGTGTGTGTGTCGTGTTGCATGCGTGCGTGCGGTGTGTGTGTGCGTGCGTGCCGCGGTGTGTGTGTATGTGTGTGTATCTGGGTTATATAGCTCGAGAGTGTTCAGTGCGAGGCGTACGGGCTGTACAGCCGCGACATGCGCAGTCTGTTGATTAAAGATTACGCAAATATTTGCGGTCGTTATTAGACACAGAGCAGCTAGATTCCAAACATTCATTAATCGCTACGTTGACGACAAAGGCTAATCAAATAGTGAACTGATTGCAGCACTCTGTGACAGATGTGCTGTAACTAAAACAGTTGCGATCTCTCGCGCATGCTGGGAGCCACCTGTCTCATTTTTTATGGATATACAGTATGACTACCTGTACTGTATAATATTCTACAGACGAATCGAGTTGCTTCGATACTATATTTTTATCATATAATTTTATTTCTATAGAACTCGTTTTTGAATTCTATAGAATTTCTAAAGAAAATAGTTTCTATAGAAAAACATCTACAAATTTATATAAATTTTCTATATAGTTTCTATAGAAAATGTTTTATGCATTTTGCTATAGAAATTTTATAGAATTCTATAGGATATTTTGCCAAGGGATATTTTGCAGCGCTGCATGCTTCTCTTCTCGCGATTCTTGCTTGTTTCCTTCTCTCTTCTACTCTCTTCTCTCTCTCTCTATCTCTCTCTCTCTCCCCCTCCTATTCTCTTCTCTCTCTTTTATCTTTCTCTCTCGCTGTATATTGTATATCTGTCTGTATGTCGTCTATCTGTCTGTTTCTATCTGTCTGTCTGCCTGTCTTCTATCCCCCTCTGTCTGTATGTCCCTCTCTCTGTGTCTGCATGGCTACCTCTCTCTCTTTCTCTTTCTCTGTCTCGATCTCGCTCTCGGTCTGACTCTTTCTCATTCTCTCTCTATCTCTCTCTACGCTCTTTTTCTTGGTGTGCCCGTGTGTGTGTGCGTGTATACACCGGGGCGTGAGTGTGTGTACGTGTGCGTGTGCGCGCGTGCGTGTGTGCATCTCTCGTGTTTGCGTGTGTCTGTGTGTTGCGTGTTTGTGTGTGTGTGTGTGTGTGTGTGTGTGTGTGTGTGTGTGTGTGTGTGTGTGTGTGTGTGTGTGTGTGTGTGTGTGTGTTCAGCATACGGCCAATGCGGTAATCAATAATTTTCCCATAACTTTACCTGGTATAGATTGGATTTTTGCTTCGCTGAATAAACCACTAGAAATGCATTTTCCTTTTCTATATAATCCGCCTGGACAGTTTTATGAATGTATCGAGCTTCTATACCTTAATGCACTCTTTGTCATTTTCTCTCAAATGCACTCACGATTGGTCATGTATAAACTGGAGGAAATTTAGTTTGTATTCTTCTTTTTAGCGTATGAATGTAGAGATTTAAACCATGTGTTTTTTTCTGTTTCTTGGCAGCTCGCAGAAGCTCAGCAAAATGTAAGTGCAGTTTCTCGGTTAAAATGATTATTATCCGTGAATTAAGCATTGTTCGTGTTTTCATCGCTCTCTATTAAATAGAAGCGTGCATTACAGCTGAACTGCTCTGTAAAATTAGTACGCGCGCGCGCGCGTGCGTGCGTGCGTGCGTGCGTGCGTGCGTGCGTGCGTGCGTGCGTGTGTACGCGCCTGTCCAGCCAGATTAAGCTTTGTGTATAGATTTGTTTGCAAGGCGGCACAAAATACGATGCCACGTGCAATATGCGGTCACAACTCTAATCGAATGCTTAAACTGGGGCAATACATGATAATTTATTATAAACACAAAGCAGAATTTTTATTATGAAAACACTTGTGATTGCGCATCTCCTGAACTACTATGGGATGATTGTGCGCTGAAATTTTCAATCCACGATCGTTAAGATCATCAGATGATTTCATTTCCCAGTCGTTTTCTTAGCATTTATTTAAACATTGTCAATGCTATTCGTTGCACATATAATGTGGTGCGTGTTGTCAGTGCTCAAATATACGCTGTTTCATAGCCTAGCTGCGATGCTAGGAGAAAGTTTAGTATAGAATGTGTGAATGTATAAACGAATAAAAAGATATTCGAAAAGTCTCGGGTGACGTTGGAAAACGCAACTCGGATTCCATCGCAATCTCTTAGGAGGTGGCAGCAGATATCATGGTATCATGGCTGCTTATCATCTATTAATAGGTTTTTTATAGGCTTTTTACAGTTAGAGAGGATTTAGCCAGACTCAAAAAACACCAGCAGCTTCGCCGTCTCCCTGATACGCGCACGTCCAAGCAATTATCAATTAAAAAACCTCTAGAAGGCACTACTATTAGGGCTTCATACCACGCTAATGAATCTATACGAATCTGTCCAAGACTATTATGAGCTTTAATGTGTTCGTGCAGGTACAAGATTTGGCTGCACGCGCGGATCCGCAGGAGATGAGTGACGGAGCCGGCGGCCAATCCGAAGAAGCCTCTCTCATGCAAGAACTCGTAGAGGTATCGTAGAGTAAGAACTCGTAGAGGTATCGTTGAGTAATAACTCGTAGAGGTATCGTAAAGTAGGATCTCGTAGAGGTATCGTATGGTAGGAACTCGTAGAGGTATCGTAGAGTAGGAACTCGTAAAGGTATCGTAGAGTAGGAACTCGTAGAGGTATCGTAAAGCAAGAACTCGTAAAGGTATCGTAAAGTAGGATCTCTCGTAGAGGTATCGTAGAGTAGGAACTCGTAGAGGTATCGTATAGTAGGAACTCGTAAAGGTATCGTATAGTAGGAACTCGTAGAGGTATCGTAGAGTAGGAACTCGTAGAGGTATCGTAGAGTAGAAACTCGTAGAGGTATCGTAGAGTAGGAACTCGTAAAGGTATTGTATAGTAGGAACTCGTAGAGGTATCATAGAGTATAGGAACGCGTAGAGGTATCGTAGAGTAGGAACTCGTAGAGGTATCGTAGAGTAGAAACTCGTATAGGTATCGTAGAGTAGAAACTCGTAGAGGTATCGTAGAGTAGGAACTCGTAGAGGTATCGTATGGTAGGAACTCGTAGAGGTATCGTAGAGTAGGAACTCGTAGAGGTATCGTAGAGTAGAAACTCGTAGAGGTATCGTAGAGTAGGAACTCGTAGAGGTATCGTAGAGTAGGAATTCGTAGAGGTATCGTAGAGTAATAACTCGTAGAGGTATCGTAGAGTAGGATCTCGTAGAGGTATCGTAAAGCAAGAACTCGTAGAGGTATCGTAGAGTAGAATCTCGTAGAGGTATCGTATGGTAGAAATTCGTAGAGGTATCGTAGAGTAGGAACTCGTAGAGGTATCGTAGAGTAGGAACTCGTAGATGTATCGTAAAGCAAGAACTCGTAGAGGTATCGTAGAGTAGGAACTCGTAGAGGTATCGTAGAGTAGAAACTCGTAGAGGTATCGTAGAGTAGGAACTCGTAGAGGTATTGTATAGTAGGAACTCGTAGAGGTATCATAGAGTATAGGAACGCGTAGAGGTATCGTAGAATAGGAACTCGTAGAGGTATCGTAGAGTAGAAACTCGTATAGGTATCGTAGAGTAGAAACTCGTAGAGGTATCGTAGAGTAGGAACTCGTAGAGGTATCGTAGAGTAGGAATTCGTAGAGGTATCGTAGAGTAATAACTCGTAGAGGTATCGTAGAGTAGGATCTCGTAGACGGTAGAGGTATCGTAAAGCAAGAACTCGTAGAGGTATCGTAGAGTAGAATCTCGTAGAGGTATCGTATGGTAGAAATTCGTAGAGGTATCGTAGAGTAGGAACTCGTAGAGGTATCGTAGAGTAGGAACTCGTAGAGGTATCGTAGAGTAGAAACTCGTAGAGGTATCGTAGAGTAGGAACTCATAGAGGTATTGTATAGTAGGAACTCGTAGAGGTATCGTAGAGTATAGGAACGCATAGAGGTATTGTATAGTAGGAACTCGTAGAGGTATCGTAGAGTATAGGAACGCGTAGAGGTATCTGTTGACGCGCGCGAACGGCAATGACTCACCTGCCTCCAGCGAGAATGAAGTTCTTGAAAATTCTTCGGATGTGTTGTTTCCGATACGTGAACATTACGAGTGGAAATGGCGCATTAAATGGCATGGTTAGTTCGGCAGGAAAATATCGATGTCAGATATTAGTATTATATTCTGCGCTTCTATAGGGACTAGGAAAACAGACGTATAGGCAAACATGTTATTTGCGATGAGTGATTACTACTAAGCTGAATAGTGACTTAACAACAGGAGCTGATTGGGAAGTTATCTACTTAAAGGATCTCATGTCTTATAAGGGTCTACTCTACCTTATCCTGTGCATCGTTCTAAGTAAGATTACTTAGTCACGACCCCCCCCCCCCTTCTTGTTATGGAACCGCCGCATTAAGCATGTATAGATACTATATAGGTATATTTAATATCATATAAAATGAGGTGCGTCAGGTATGTATAGATGCTATATATTTATCATATGAAACGAGCAAGTATAACGATGCTTAACTCAATCACATGCTAAACTAATACAGAGAAAAAAGCTCATCAGATTAATTTTGAACAACAATATAGCGAAACTTACGAGATCAAAATGACACCTAAAAAGGATGTGCTGTTAGTCGCTTTAATGTTACACTATGATGACAGTATGATAACGAATAATAGTTTGACGTATATTTGATAAATGTATTTAAAATAAAGTTATAATAACTTGCAGGAGAATGAAAAAGTTTAAATTATGATTTTATTCATCCATGTTAGTCGAAACTAACAGTGCTAAGTTAAGTTGACGCTGACAGTCAGAAAGCCCACAGGACAGCTGTGTGACATTGCTGTTCGACTCCTAGAGTGCTCTAGATGCCACTTAGAGGTTGACGTTGCCGCGGTCACGATGGGGATAAAGCGATGTTTGGAGGCGGGGATGACGGTCCGTGTCCGGTGATGCGGTGTGGCCTCCTGTCTCAGGAGACTGGCTTCACTTTGTAGCTCCGACAGTGGCTGACCGCAGTTTTGTAATACGAAACGGGTTTCACGGCCGTATGACAAAGCTCGACGCATATGGTGCATCACATAACGATATCTGCGACCATACATTTATTGTATGAGTACATGGGTATAACAAACCTTCATTTCACTCTCGTCCCTATCGACCCAGAAATCGAATACCCCACAGACGTAAGTTGATAACCCAGGATATAGGCCCTATTATATTTGATTGGATACATTATATTAGTGTGTGTCGCCACATATATATATTTCCCAAATAGGTCCCAGTTGCATGAATATTCGTATTGCATTACTTGAATAGCTCGCGGTATAGACAGTGTATATAGCCTATACGCTATTAGTTAGTGCATGGCGAACAGTCGGCTATAGTCGTCGCCATTATTTCGACAGCGCAGGTATTTCCGTCAATCTCATTTGCGACGGATCTTAAAGTAAAGCAGTAAAGAAATCTTTATTTTTATCGGTATACAGCACATATACAGGATAACATCAGCTCTCGAAATATCTCTCAAAGTACAGATGTTCTGGTAAGAGTAAAAGCAAGTAAAATACATCCAAAGATGGTCTCTAGGCGCGGAAATCTCGATAAAAGCAATAGGGCGAGAGAAACCCAACAAAAAACTGCTTCCGTCGGTAGCTGTAGTGTGTAATCGTCAGCCGATCGGATTGACATACGTCACGGTTTGCGCTACTTCAGCTCAGACGCAATTAGTCGATCCTGGCACTCACAAAGGAGAGGCAGTTAGTGGTTCCGTCATCGGCAGCCTAGGCACGTACTAGCCCAAGTTGTGTGTTTGTGTGTGTGTTTGTGCAGTTGTGTGTGTTGTGTGCTGTGTTATGTGTTATGTGTGAATAGTGATGTTGTTAGTGTGTTTGTGTGTGTGTGTGTGCGTGCGTGCGTGCGTGCGTGCGTGCGTGCGTGCGTGCGTGCGTGCGTGCGTGCGTGCGCGTGTGTGTGTATGTATGTATGTATGTATGTATGTGTGTGTGTTGGGTGTGCGTGAGTGTGGTGGGGGTTGCATACCCTTCTTTTATTCACACTCCGGTATTGACCGGTCGTACGTACGCAACATTAATACAATATACGATAGATGGCATATACTATAATAGCTCGGCCGGTGCTACAGCGGCTATAATGCTGCGGAAACTTGCGTACCCTACTTCGCGTAGCTGTACCACGCCTACCCACCTTACGTACCTCATGTCTTTGCTCTTTTAGTAGTGTAATCTCTTGCGTGGTATTCGGCCTCGCAATTACGAAGTACAAAGGAAGCTGTCACGTCTCTAATATAAGAAGAAGCCATCGAACTATCGCTAAGGATTCATAATGATTACTCTGGCCGCTTAAACGCCATATATGTATTCCTACACGCGACGCACTATTGACGTCACGCAGCAACGCTGGCGTTTCCACCGACTCCTAAATGAGAATTATAATTGCTTAACGCTGACGCATGAAAACATCAATCACCGATGTTGAATAACAACGGCTACTTTTCAGTCGGGCGATGTTTCGCATGGCAATGTGCCGCGACACCCTATGGAAAGTTTACTGAAATTCGAAGCTGCCATTTTCGCAATGTAAAATGTTAATTGTAATTGTGAGCGCGACAATGTTTGCAGAAAGAGAATGTGAGAGTTTAAAATGCCAAAAGCTATTTCAAACTCAGCGTGAATTACTCAATGATTATTAAAAATGGGAAACTTGATCGCCCGTTGGCGTGCCATCTAGTCTTTTTTATGAGTAACACTTTCCAACTTCGGTGTGAACAACGCCATCTATTATATATATATATATATATATATATATATATATATATACATATATTCCTATTTAATATGTTTCGGCGACAGAAACTCCGCGAGAATGGACTGACGAACGAGGAGATGAAGTCAGTAGCCGGTTATCTACGCAGCGCAGCGGCGGCAGCACCTCCGAGAAACAGCTATGTGGGAGAGCGGATCGATGACGAGGGCTTGGAACCTAGCAACGCTGACGATAGTACGTTCACGTATGGTTGGCTATCGTACTCAGAAATAATTTAAAAAATTTATTACACTTACTTTATTTTACACATGATTTAACCGCGGATAACTGATTTTTAACGCGGTTAAATTATGTGGAACAAGGCCTCTAATTGGGTAAAAGGGTCATAATTTAAACGCGTTTAAATTATTTCTACCGCGGTCAAATTAATTATTTCCGAGTACGATGCCCAACGATATTCACGGGCTTACCATATTCGCATGGAAAACAAATATTTCTCCAAATATTTCGTTCCTTGATGTGAACGTACATACTTGAGGTGTTCTTCTTGGAAAGAACGTACGTGCAAAATGTTCCGGGGAATTCATCCTTCGGGATATCCGCGATCGCTGAACGTTCTTGTAGGCTACAATACACCGTTGCATAAATAGCTGCAAGGAACCTTATCTGCCATAAACGCTGTTCTCGATACATGTAACCCATGCAACGATTGGAAGGCGCAGTTATTTGCTGTATGGATGCATCATATTTCTGTATAAATTATCTCTCGATGTTTACAATACTGAAATATATGACTGGTGATTTATTGACGTTATACCCTGCATAGTGGGTTTGTAAAAATGTCAAGCGAGCTAACCTGTTACCAGCAATCAAGTATATCGCGTGTTGTAGCCTACTATTTGCATGGTCATGACCCCGGAAAAATATTACTGTGGTTGTGTGCGCATCGCAAAGTGCATTATATTGTTTGATCTGTTTTCCGTTTTACTTATTATCTATAATAGGCATGTTAAAGAGCATATAAAAAAGGGTTTATATGCGCTTGGTATGTTATTCGATATACTATATAGTTAACGAAGTGCAACTGTAATCGCATGCGTAAGAAGTGTATTTGAACCTCTTTCTCCCCGGATGCAGACATTGAGGCGATCCTAAAAGCTCAACAAGGACAGTTTGGCAAATTCGACAACTCAAACGCTCAAGGCGAACAATCTCCACAGGCACTGCAGCAAAGAAGTATCAACAGCAGAGGCATTGAGGACCGGGGGTTAGCACAGAGCGGTCTCGACTCGGCCGATGAAGCGCAAACCAGGAGATGGTTGCGCGAATGTAAGTGAGACTATATACATTACGGCCCATCTTTATCACGCGTATAAGTAGATCTCCATCGCTGACAAGGCTCGTTGGAGAATTTCACGTAAGAGGCTTCAGTGCTTCGTTCGCATCGACCAGCGCTGTCACGTGAGTGTCGTACGTGATCGGAGCGTTGCGAATCTATCATTTACAATTCATTTTCATCACGGCGCCGCGCGAAAATTTCGCTCTTTCACGCGCTGTTATAGAAATTCGCTTGATTGACGTGCGAGCGCGCCTTCAGGGTTGTCAAGTGCCGTGACGAACCCAGAACGCCATAAAACATCGCCCTCTCTCTCTCCTTCTCCCTCTGGCACTCTCTCACTCTCCCTTCCCTTTCTTTCTCTCTCTTTCACGCACTCACGCAAGCAGGCACGCACGCACGCACGCACGTACACACGCACGCACGCACACGCATGCACGCACGCACACACACGCACGCACGCACGCACGCACGCACGCACACACACACACACACACACACACACACACACACACGCGCGCGCGCGCGCGCGCGCTCTCTCTCTCTCTCTCTCTCTCTCTCTCTCTCT